GAACGTAGTCGATGGTATGTTAATAATGGCACCACGTCGTTATGTAAAAACAATAAATTATGATACTTTTATCTTTAATTTCATTTTTAATAACATTTTTTTTCTAAATTTTATAACGGAGTTTTAGATATATCTAAAAAGGTTATTCTCACAAATGATTAACTATAATTATTCAAAATATGGCATATGCTTATTTTGTATCTATTATCTCTCTGATAATGTTAGTCATCTTGGATGTTTAATGTAAAATCTGTATATTGTTTCATTATTTGAATCTATCCTGCAATACGAGTTCAGATTTTTCAAGTATCCTTAATAAAAATAGTTTTTAGGATTAAGATGAACGAGATCATTCAATACTACTTCGTCTAAAAATTCATTGCTGAGGAAATACCCCCACTAGACATCGCCGAATATTTATGCCAAAATGAGCTGGAGTTTCGTCTTATAGTATTCACAGTTACATTATTCACCTTCGCAGATGACACCGCAATTCATGATCCAGATCCATGAGTACTTGGACATTCCTACAGTCCTGACGTCATCATAAACCATGATGTGCTGATTTAGAACCTAACAAACCACCCCAGTAATAGAAGCATAAAAAAATTATATCCAACCTTACAGAAAACAATGTAAATTGATATCTTCAGAATTATAGCTACCGTTTGGGACCCTTGGGTTATTCCCTCAAGTCTTTGTTTCTTATTCTGACGTTATTATCTTTATCATTATCACTGCTACAAGTTTTATCAATGTTTTCAGAAGGTTGCAAAACAACAGCTGGTACAAACTGATCATCTGTAAAGACACGCCTGTTTAAATTCAGAAGTACGGAAAGCAACACGTGAATAGCAAAAAGGTTAAAAATAGATTAAAAAGGAATTCTTTGATTTTTTACAGAAAAAAAAAGTAGAAGATTGAGTATAAATATAGTGAAAGGTAACTTGATCTATAATACACTTGTTGGAAAAGAAGTTATGGAACGTAAGGTTATATCCTCTTAAGATTATCGCGAATGGTAAACGGTTAGAAAACGAGGCGAATGCAAGCGAAGTTGTCGAGTGAAGGCGAGGCAGCACCAGCAGCAGCACACAACTCAAACATCGTAAATAGCAATTCCGCCGGGAAATTACAGGCGAGAGAGGCGGTCGACAACTCAATAAAACGCTCGAAAATATTCCCCGTCGTAATTCGTGCACCTTTCAACGTGCGAAAACAATAACAACACCGGCGAGCGCCAGGCACCACCTCAACTTTTTGGCTCCAGACCAAAGAAAACACTTATACTCGCGTGACACTTCGCGCGTTGAGTCTCATCCACAACACCAGAAGAAAGAAGATCGTCTCTAACTAGAGGAGAAAGAAGAGGAAGACATTATTTGTTTGATCTAAAATTACATCCGAAATCCGCGCCGTTGATTTACGATGGTTGGTGGGTATCCCCGGTTAGGGGCACCGGGACACCGTCGTAGTCGTTGTCGTCGTGTGGCAACTTTGATTTACGGTTTCGGGATGGCGCCCGGTAGGACGTAAGGCGTCGCGACGCTCCGCGCACGTAACTAATCGCGCCCAGTCCCACGGCCAATGTGTAATTACTTGTTCATGGCGAATGCAGTACCTAGAAGAAGAAGAACGCGACGAGGGGGCCGAGAAGGGGGTTTGCCAACACACGTAAATCTCGCGGCAACTAGACGGGACCTCGACGCGCCCTGTTTATCGGAGAAACTGTAAATTTTCCGACGTCGTCATAATAATACGAGATCACGCGCTTATGACGTTTATAAAGATCACTCTCAAAACTCGCTAAAAGCATCTATAGGTTATTATTTAGTAACAGTTTTATATAAAAATCTTATTTATTTAAAGATTTTAATAACATATTTTATTGAAATAAGACGATTGTAATATGAACTATTCTGATTTATCTCTTCTCAGAGAGATATATTGTGATTAACAGCTTTTCTTGTTGGTAGATATGTACAAATAAATTTCCTCAGAACACTGCCAAAGAAGCCTATCTTGTGAATAAACGTCAATGCAATACTCGCTCAATTGACAGACAATATGCCACATCAGCTGACACAACTATTTATGCTAATGTATCGATTGGATTATGAAATACAAGTGTTCCGCAATAATTAAAGTGGGGCAATACACATAGTTTAGTTTAAGTTTTAACTGTTTATACAGGCTGTATCTAAATTGATGCGAAAGATTTTAAGGGGTGATTTTTCAACGAAAATTATCAAACTACTTCAAAACTACTTCTCCTCCAAGTTACAGTCCTCTAAAATTAGGGGAAAAATTGTTTTTCTTTAATAAATCCACCATGGAAGAATTTAGAAGAATGAAATTTAGCACATAACTGTTGCTTATAAAATGACTCTTTTTGACGATTTTTATACCCGGAAAATGATATTACAAGGTGCTAAAAGAATCAACCCCTATAATACTTTGCAACAAAACTTTTTAATGTGTCTATAAGTTCATTTTTTTTCTATAATACCTGTCAAATTGTTGTAAAGTTGGCAAAATTAACAGGGAATTTTGATTTATCATGTTTTGAAATAGATACGTCACACTGACGTTTGAGCTTTCGTTATTCCAAAAGAAAAGGTGCATAAAAAATGTTGTGGGGTGTTTATTTGCCATTTACTTACCTAGAAAAGGTGTTTTGTTCTATTTAATTACTTTTTAGCACGTTTTTACAATAAATATGTACTTCGTTAAAATCGTATTTATCTACAAATTTATTAGTATTTTAACCTCAACTATTTAGTTATGAAAATGTTACTAAAAATCAGGAAAATAACGTAAATTTTATAAGGATCCTAGATAATACCAACAGAAACCCTAAAAAATTTACATTGACAAGTATTATAGAAAAAAAACGAACTATACGTTTTTCTCTTTAAAAACTTGATTTAAATAGATGGATTCAATACGCAACTTTTTTGTCTCTTGTCATTTTCTCTTAAAATTGTTAGTTTGATCGCAAAAAAATAAAATAAAACAAAGGCTCAGGTGAATTAATTCAACGATTTGTTATTAGTAGTCAAAAAAATGAAGTTATGTCAAATTGATCTCAGCATTATTTTATTTTTTATGATCAAACTAACAAATTGTTAGATGTAAAATGTCAAGAGATAAAAAAGTTGCAGTCAAGCAACTTTCAAGCATAAGTCCCATCAATTTAGATACACCCTGTATATTCGCTTTTTGCATGTCTCAAGCACCGATCGAGATATAGACCATTTTTTTACCATTTCTAAATTTTATGTAACTTGCCGTTTGAAGGATTTTTGTGTATTTTGTATTGTACCTTTTTTATGTTCTACTTCTTTATTTGTATGTCTGTGATGAGGTAAAAACAATTGTAATAAGTCTAAAAAAGCTTTATTTTCTTTTCTTCGCCTGTTTGAACTTTTTGTTTGGAAACGTCATTATACTCATAAAGCTGCAGCTTTCTAGGCACATATATACACATGTCCTAATACACCCCTATCGTATAAAGATAATTCTGATTAATTAAATATTATTAATTCACTAGCAATCAATAATGGTATTATATGTCACAATTTCCGAGCTTATGTGAATAGGAATATATTGGAGGCGGCTCTTTAAAATCTTAAAAATTTGTTATGAAACGAGAATGAAATGAATTTTTGCCTACGATAAACCCAGGGTTTATCAACTATTATTAGCTTTTCTTGTTTCTACTGAAATAGTTGATAAAGGCCTGCTTTAAGTAGTCGAGAAAATTTACCATATACTTTGTTATATCGGTATGAAGCGCCCAGTAAAAAATAAATATTTTTAGACAGTATTGATGTGATGTATTTCTTCGGAAGAATATACGAAACTCTTGGATGAAGAGAAAATGACGAAGATGTAGGATCTAAATGTGTCCTTAATAAGATGGAAATATTTGGTGCTTTTAAAATACAACCTCATAATGACAATAAAAACAGTGACGTTGAAAAATTGATAGTCCTTTCTGATAACACGGGTTTAACGATAATTGTGTACCATTCTGTCAAATATGCTTAATACGCCAACAAACGTCACGATTTTTAAATTGAGATAAAAAATCTGCAAACTATTTTTTGAAATATTTTTGTTGTTAGATTACCATAGACTGTCTCATTTTGATTTAAATTGGTCAACAGACAAAGATAAAAGTTTCAATATACTTCGGAAGTGTATGCCTTGAAATAGATTTCTAAATATAAAGCATAATTTGCATTTATCTGATAATGGGTATTTAGAACTGACGTTGATTATGCCAATTTGGTGTATTTGGTTATAACCTGTCGATCGACGAACAGATGGTGTCTTATTTCAGGACATACTGAAATTTTGTGATGATTCTGGGTTCTATTTATGCTACGGACTCTACTTTACAAGGCATAAATTTATTTCGAAAAACGAACGAGGTTGTTACGAATTCGTATAATCCAGGGTTTTCAAGATATCATGTATTGCTTATATTGATTCTTTTCAGTTATCTCTTTTAGCGGTAGACAAAACTTCCACAGTAAAGTTGTTTTATACTAGCGAATTTTAAATTATGCAACAATATAAATAATAAAAGCAAAAGATATCTAGGAATCACCATATTTGATGGCTCCGTTTCCGAAAAAGATGACCGTGACACGAGTTACGAAATTAAAGAATATGATAATGAACCTAGGTGATGTAATAAATTGTTTAAAAGTCACAGTATTTATATTTGTGCAGTGTATATTTCCATATTGGCCAATGATATGTGTTATATTTATTATTTACACATTTTTGAGTTGATGGTTTTGGCAATATAATCATTTTTTGCTAAAATTTACAATTATTTTATAGCTTAGTCATAATGGTTTTATTTAATAATTTATTATCAAAAATATTCATAAAATTTTGCTTTTAATTTGAAAATAATTAAAATTGTTACTTACTTTTATTGTCTTTCTTGATAACAGGTATATTTAAAAAATAATACAATAAAATTGATTTTTTATATTCACTTTTATTTTAAATAAAAATTTACTTTCGCAAATGTACACAACAAAAAAGTTATCATTAATATGCAACATAATATTGTATAATTAGCATCATGCTTCACGTATAATATTTACATATTTATAAGTATGTATAGTTATAGGCAATTAAGATATTTGTACTGGTATTTTTTTCCATTTCTTAGCCCAATTTCACACACTGATAAGATTACGTTTTTTTTTTAATCATATTGTTTCTCCTCGTGTCGTGGTATTCTCGGTTTTATTTATTTTTTTCGTTTTAAATTAATTAATACAATATTAAAAACTCTACACAACAATGATTGTTTCTCAATTACACACACACTCGTACCTTATTATTATCTTTTTTTTAATAATCCACACATTTCATGCATTCCGATTTTCATTCATTTCCTTCAACACTTCCTTTCGCTATTATTTTTTAAACCGCTTGCGATGGAAAAAAATACACCAAATAGCCTCGGTGTCTTTTTACTTATTTAATTTATTTCTTTATTATCATCTGTTTTGGTATACACTAGTTGCCATTGTTTTTTTTTAATTTTTGTTTCTCGATTTGTATATTTTATTTTTTTCTTTCGTATAATAAATGCCGAATCACCATTTTTTTAAGTATGAAGGGGATTGTTTTGTTATTTTTACATTTTCTTATTTTTTTAAATAATATTTTAAACGAAATTTTCATTATTTTATGAAAAAATTTTCGAAAATATTTTTGTTATAAGAAAATGCATCCCCTTTTTCTTGGTATCTCTCTTTTCTATTAAAATTTTCTTCGTCTTTCCGTTATTTATTATTATTTTTTGTGTTTCTTTGTGTTATTTTATTTATTTTAATTCTCGTATACATTGAATAAGGCGAACAATTCATTTATGATGGAAATCACTTAAAACAGCCAACAATTCTTGTAGTAAGACCGATAATGAGGGGGAGGGTTAAAGGGAGGATGTTAAATTTGGCGACGTCGATGTTGCAAAAGGCATAGATTCCTTTATCGTTCTACCACGAAACAATTGATTGCACTTAAGTGATAAAGGAATGCAATGACGTTTTGATTTTTAACAGCGTCGAAGTCGCTGATCTGATTTTTATTTACTTTAAATTTTTAAATGTCCAAACCACCACGATTATGCAAAAACATCTTATAAAACTATCACCGTTATTATATATAAATTTTTCTAAATGACTATCTATATATAATATATATTTATATATTAACAGAATGATCACCAAAATTCGTATACACCATTTTATTGCGAAATCGAGGTGGTTATTGACCTTGTTTCCTTTATTTAGTTAAATCAGATCTTTGTTGATTTATTTATTTTTTTCTTTTCAATAAGAGGAAAAAATAAATTTAATTTTAGTTATTTAAGTAGTAATATCGTGTACAATATTTTTAATATTTCTATGGTATATTTATGTGGTTTCAGCCAAGTCCACCTGAGTTTTTTTGTTTTCCCTTAATGCAACGCACTGTATACTTGTATACTTGTGTTTCGTTTGATATTTTTTCTTTTTTAACTTTGTTTCGTCTCGAGTTAATTTTTTTCTTTTAACATCTAGTAGATTTTACGTATATCGTACATGTCGGGCGTATAAATCGCAGGGGGAGAATATTTTTTTTTAACAGTAGTAAATAGTAGTATACAATTTCCATTTTTTCCTCTCAGTAAAATACAAACCCGATACACATAAAAAAACAAGAGATAGAGAGACATAGTTAAATAACCGTTAAACTCAAGTGCGAAAATGAAAGAAAAAATAATAATAAAAAAAAACGAAATAAAATCACAACAGATAACAACTATATTTTTTTATACAGCACAACCATACTTCGAAATATTGTTTTAACTTGTACGCGATGTACTCAAAAAATCCTGTTCCCTTTATTAATTTTTATTTTAAAGTTCAATCCACGTCCTCCTTTTCTATTTTTATCGCTAAGTGCTGCGGACCACAATTTCTTTTTTCATTTTTTTAATTATTTAGAAAAAGTCCTTGTTCGTTTTTTGACCACACCGGGGCCAAAGTCCGTTAACTATTAATTTTTTTCATTTTTAATTATTACTTAGCCAGAGTATGTACACCCGCACGGAAACAACAAAATCGCGAACGACGAAAACTAATTAAGTTAATCTCATTCATGCCATCGCGCACTTTACACGTTTAAAAAGTTTTTTTTTAATTATTTACTTCGAAACGGCGTCGTCGTCGTTTTTAAACTTTTTTTAAATCATTTTTTACGTTTTATTTTACTCTTCTTTTTTTGTACAGAGGGTTTTTGCTTTTATTTAAATAGTCCTTTTTCCTCGCACCACCGACCGTCTCGACGCACGGACGGGACGCACCCTTTTTGCCTTCTTCCAGGAGACCCAAAAAGGCTAGGTCACACTCGATCGACGAACATAAAAAACACTGTGGAAGGGGCAAGGTTTTCACTACATTTACACTTTGTACAGGTATTTTTAATCACAATTAAGAGTTGCAAAGTTCAATGTCCGACATTGACGTGCTAAAGAATCCTGAAACAAAAAGAACATTTTTTTAGTAAAGTTTTTAATAAATAATTGTGCATAATTAATATAGAAAAAATGAACAAATTATTTCCAAATCTTTCCTATCTACACGTTTTCATGAACGAACACTTGTTTCTGAAGAAGAATGAACCCTTTTTCAAAAGAGACGCATGGCTTAACTCGAAAGCTTAACTTAGGCCTAATATTAGTTCTAGTGATAGTGCTAGTGTTAATTCTTGTTTTAATTTAAAAGATCTGTTCTATTCCGCATCAGAACGTTTTCACCATTCTTATGGAAGCAATAAAACTCAACCCAATCTATCTTATTTCATGTTTTCTGCTTTATTAATATCTATTAATATAACGAAAATTATCAATTGAGCTTAAAAGTTTTGATATTGGAAACAACCCAGAATATTGTTGTCCTTTCCGTGATGAACCCAAAATTAAATTAATGCGAAAACATGATCAGGAAACCAACAGCAACAAACGATAAATGCACAAATTTGCATGCAACGAAGATAATTTGTATATAAAAGTAAAAACGATCTATATTCACAAAGATACTTAATTCCTAAAAACGTTCAAAGTCGCTTAAACCGTAATCAGATGATTGTTGAGATTTGTTGATGAAAGCGCAGTAATTTTGACAGTTTGAAAATATTGCACAGGGCTTACATTTTGCTTGGTATCGTGATATATTGAAACATACTTAAGCGCCATCTATTATAATCTATTATCACTAATATAAAAAGATATTCTGTCCCGTAATAAAATAAACATAACCTTGACTAAAATGTTAGAGTTTAATTTATTTATTATAAAGTCATAATAAATAAATTCGCAGAAATACAAGAGCTTATTTACTGTTGGGTATGTTTATGTAAATTTTTAAGGAAATTTAATAAATTTTTAAATTACCTCATAGATGATGTCCATAGTATTCAGGATAGTGCGTGTACTGATTGTGAAAGGCTGGGTCACCTGGAGGTCGGTGCATCATCTGTTGGCCGTCCATCATGTATCCCATCGTTCCATCTGGACTGTAGGCTCCACTGGGACCTGCGTGCGGAGTGAACACTAATAATTAGTTCGGTAAAGTACTGTCCTTTAGAAGAAAAAGTTGAGGAAATATAATAACCTGCGACTAAGCGTTACGCCTCGAAAAAAAATGAAATAAGAAAACTGTTGAAAGTAGTAAAATCGATTTTATTAAGTTTTATAAAAGGGGGTCGATGTTAAGGAAAAATCGAGAGTAAGAAGGGTGTCGGGTTGACGGATGGGTGCTCGCGTAGGTCATTGGCTTGAATTTCTCTTCTGGTGGCTGTCTCCGGCAGAGAACCTTACACACACCGGAATCGATACCGCGTGCGTACTGCAGACAATGAGAGGTCTCTCTCTCGTTTCGGGTATCGCAGCCACCATTACCCCGTGACAGCGGTGATTAATGTCCCTCCATTCAGTAAAATAACTCGGCTCCGAAAGCCCCCCCTGTTACCCCTCGTCGTCCACGTTCCCTCCCAAAACTCGCCCCTTTACCCCGCGACCTTTCTGTAGCCTCAAGCGCGACGAAAACTTCATTTTTATGCACATATTATTGGGAGGAAAAAAATCATCATCGGGGGGCCCTCGGTATCTCTCGAGAAAAACGAGAAGAGAAGGTTAATGCCGCCCGATACGTTACACGCCTTTCCACTTACAACTCATATCGCAACCCGATTACGGTGCACTCTCTCTTCTCTACCTGAAGCCGAACGCGATACCACCCGAGACTCTCATTCGATCCAAGCATTAATGGAAATCACAATTCATTAGCGATAAAAAAGGAGAATTTCGCTTGATACTGAAGTAAATAAACGATACGCACGAGAATGAACGAAGTAAAGTATTAAAGAAGAAAAAGAGGAGGCGAGTTGATTAATTACAAACGTTCTGGTAGGAAAGGGGAATCTTATATATACGTGGGGGTTACTCGTCCCTTTTGGTCCTGAATAAGTAAACGCGTCGATCTCCCGAAAGACTCAGAAATGTCGGCTTCTAAGAGAGTTAAACGCCGCTCGCTATTCGGACAAATCGAATCAATCGGTACATCAAAGGAGTTCACCCCTACGGCGAAAAACGGTCTAAACTTAAATATTTTAACGGATCCAAAGGGGATTTGAAATAAAACCCTGGAGGCGTCTCGCGGTCGCAGGTTTTCCTTCTTGGCGATTGAATCACTTACCTGCTCTGTTCGACTGATCAATCATTGGTTGAACTATCCTCCGCCTCGCATTTATAAACCTAAAATAAAAAGATATACCAAATAAGAATATAATTTTATGATTACAATATAATTATGGACATAACATAGAAAGGAAGGAAAACTGGAAGGTACGATGTTTTTGATCCTTTCAAATTCCTCGGTAATTTTGTTTATGTGGGACGTGACATCCCGGCCGGATTCGCAAGGGCTAATCGTAGCCCCTGGACCAAAGGGTCCACACGTGCCGGTCGCGAAGCACAGATAAGCTTAATTTAAATTACCCTGTAGAGGGTAGATTAAAACCGGGACAGTTTTGTCGCCGACTTGTTTTTCCGCGCGATTTCGTATCCCCCCTAGCACCGAAAGTTAACATACGATATACACAAAAGGGGTAGAGAAATCCCCTTTTGTTTGCAAACCAAAATCTCAACATTTTAAAGTTTTATAAATGTATCTAATAAAATAGGTCAAGTTGTTTTACTAACATGTATAAAAGATAATAAAAGCATACTGTGTTACTCTGCGAATATATGTGTGTATGTATATAAAGCTCTCGGTTCCCCAATTAAGAGGCAACAGCTGTGAAAATTAATGGGGCGCAGCTTTTAAGACGTAATTGGGTACATTCATAACGCGAAATCCGCGTTTCCGAGATTCCGTCGCAGATGTTGTGTTGGTTCGAGAAAGAACTTTGCGACGATTGTTTTCCCTCGGTGGAGGGAGGGAATGAGATGACGTCGATTTTAATAATAGGGGTAGAAGCGTGCCGGTAATCCATCATTTGTAGCGACGGGGGCGGGAAAGGGTACTACTACTACTACGCTTCCCTCCGGGACACGATCCGGAAACGATAATTGCGAACAGAAACGGGAATAACAGTCGTTGATTCGTAAGAGGGCAGGAACCCTCCTAGAAAGGGGTGAAGTTTGTGTTTTCGGGAGAGAAAACAGCGCCGGACCGTCATTAAGGGTCAGGATTAGCCGGGAATCCGACGCCAAAAAGGGTTACCCAGACGTGGACAATACGTCGCTAATCGATACCGAACGGGGCAAGCGTCGCGTCGACCACCACCGCCGTCGCCACCCCCTTACCACCACAGCCTAATTAGGCCGTTTGACTACGCTCTCACGTACCTACATGGGGGGGCTGGCAGAACAATTTCCTGGAATCTTGAGGAATTGGACCCGCTAACGGCACGTTATTTGCTGCTTTACGCCGATTTCTATGCTTCAAACGGATAGACTCACTAAATAAAGCCAATCTTCAAGTCTTCCCCTCCAAATAGGCAGAAATCAAATTTCACCCATCGGTATGATTTCTACCGTACGTGATCATTTAACTCACCCTTCTTCAATTTCAAACTAATTTATCTTGAGTGTTGCAATTTGAATATACAGTGAATTACATTTAAGATGCAATATACTAAAATAGAACTACAACTAGAAACATTCCGTTAATGTAGTTTTAGTGACAGTGGTGGTATAGCATAATATATCACTATGTTGCATATTTTTATTGAACTAAAACTAGAACTAACACTAGACCTAGAACTAGAAACATTCGGGTTTAGCCGTGCGTTTGAAGATGCACGGCTAAACCCGAAACTTTCTTGTTCTAGGTCTAGTGTTAGTTCTAGTTTTGCACTAGCATTATCACTAGAACTAACACAAGACCTAGATCTAGAACCATTCGGGTTTAGCCGTCTTGAGAGACGTGCGGCTAAACTCGAATGTTTCTAGTTCTAGCTCTAGTGTAAGTTCTAGTTTTACACTATCACTAAAACCAACTCAAGACCTAGAACTAGAATCATTCGGGTTTAGCCGTCTTGAGAGACGTGTGGCTAAATCCGAATGTTTCTAGATCTAGGTCTAGTGTTAGTTCTAGCTTTAATTGTTAAGACGGCCGAAAACTTAGAGTTGTCATAAGGACGTCACCTTTTTCCAAGCAAAACTTTTCCTTTGCAAAGCTAGCCAAAATGTCTGTACTATTAAGCTATGTTGCATTTTTTTGTGGGACAGTGCATGTGCACATTAATTTCGTAACTATGGTGGTTACTGCATTCATATACTTACATTTTATTATTTTTGGTACATTGTATCAATTTCGAAAAAAAAAGAGTCTTGTATGGTGATATATCTACTGATTTAAATTTTTCTTGTTTATTTAGTGAGAGAAACTCTTTTCCCACAAACGTATTGTTTTCTTTCCGTTTCGAGTCGATTAATTATACAGGCGACAAGGTACGGCCTGGGTAAAGAATGCGCCATCCACGAAGAACACAATAGGATCGCGGGAATAGTTTCGACGACTCTCTCTCTCCGTTTTATTTTTAGTAATTTTTTTTCTGTATGTGTTCGCTCGGCCGTCCTTTCTCGTCGTCGTCGTCGTTGCCGTCGCGAAATCGCCGCCCGATTGTTTTAGACTAATTAATATGCCCGGGAGGTGTTTAATTTACGCCCCTTAATGACACGTTAGCGATCGCGTCTCGCATACTAATCGACGTGCACAATGACGGGGTCACGTTTTACAACTCGCTCTGCTATTAATAAACCCGTGCCCGAAATTTACGAATCATTTAACTTAGCCTATTTTGGGACCGTCTGTATACGACGATGATGATGTAAGAACTACTATGTATATGTATGATTCAGAACAGTTGTTGTTGGGGAACGATGAAATGATACGTATCAGTTCTGGTTGGAAGCAAGGGGTGGAAGACGTCTCCAATTTTCTTCTCAGTGAAAAGATTCGAATTCGGTCCGGAGGCAAATTGAAATTGAGTACGCATAATGGAGGCCGCTAATGGTGCCACCTCTTGGCCGCGACGCGGGCTTTTTCGGGTAAATTGCCGCTCGGAGGGTAAATCGAGGGTAGATAGAGAGGTGGAGAGCGGATGCGGGGAGGTACGCGTTAATGGCGTCGCCCGGATAATGGATGGAATTGCATTAAAATGCGATCTGCATGGAGCGAGCGGCGCGTACATTTCCGGGGCCAAATGTAATTACGGCCCTATCGGATCAATCCCACGTCGGAGGCGGCGGCTGCTGCGAGAAGCACCCGATTGTTTGGGCCGGGTCGGTAGCGCCCTTTCCGTGTTGCGACGATTGGCCGCGACGCCTACGTTTTCGAGAAAAACGCCGGACGTGTCCGCTAATTTAAATCGGTCCAGATTACGCACGTTCGGTTCGGGGTTTTGGCGTAGAATGAAAGTAGGGGATGGCGGGGTAGGAAATCGAGCGAAGGGGAGCTGAGAAGGGGGCGCGTTCGCTTCATTGGGATCGGAGGGCTATATGGAAATGTTGGTCAAATATATCATTCCGGCTTGACAGTGCAATTCTCTTATCGGAACGCTCCCGGTTCCCGATCCCTCGGGCTCTGCTGGCGTCGTAGTTGTTTTTCACTAACGGAGACGAAACCGGGAGTTTCAGGGGCGACACCACCCTCCCACCCCTTACTCTGCCAGTCGCGTCTCCCGCCTCGTTCTAGCCAAACCCGTTACCCGGGAAATTGCGAATAAAACAATCCTCCTTATTTCGTGATTGAGGAAATTCGTTAATAAGAGGTATTTCCTATAATAAACGAGAGAAGAAACAAAAATAAATTGGAGCAACGGTAGAAAAACAAAAGCGCGACACGTGACGCCTAAACAAAAGAGTAATTGCAAATTGAATCCGTAACGGCGTCGTAAAAATGGAGCGGTAACCGGGCGCGGGGCGCCCATAAATTCCCGGTTTAATATCTCTCCGGAGCACCGGGCGTCGCGTTAACGCCACCAAGTGTCGCAAGCTGACGCCCGGTCGGGGCCCGTGATGGGGCCTGACCCCGTGGCGACATCTGCTATTTACCAATTACCACACTCTATATAGCTCGGTAGTAAATACAGGCAGCACGGATGTCTAAATCATAAACGCGTTTTCGGGGTGGGGTCAACATTACTTCCAAGAGCATGCTTTCAACACGCAAATTCTAACCAATTAACAATTTATAAATAAATCATCGTTTTTTCACCATGAAACAAATTTGCGAATCAATGAGTCACTGTAGATTATTAGACTTATCGCTTAGAAGAGGAGTAAATAACCCGGGGGTGGTAAAATAAATAGGCTCGATTTGCGTCGCGATGCGTTAGAATTTGCGTGTCAAGTTCGTTCGAATCGTAATGGCCCGCCTGTCACACTTGACATCGCGGTAATATTTACAAAATCGCCGACACGCGATCCATCAGCGGTCATTATGTTCTCGGAACAGATTTTCCCTACATAATTATTTCGTTTAATACTTATTCAAACCTTCCTTTTTTCATAATTAATAACAATATCATACAATAAAGTCTACATAAACCCCAGAAAATGATAATATCTCAGCTTCCGAAATGTAATTCAATGACATTTTTAACAAAAAAGGTAAGAAGTCTATATTATTTCCATATTTTACATAAAAGCTATATACAGTGCTTCCCAAAAGTAACGGATAAATTCGTTAAAACAATTAAAAACGGTTTATAGAAAAATCGCTGAAATGGGTCTAAGGATTTAATTTTTTTGCCTTTTTTTGGTATAGGTTTTAAATTTTTTTCGCCATTTTTAAAGCAGTTATGACGTCATCGTTATTTTTTTCAAATAGCAATCCCTCATTTTTATTACGGAATATGAAAGCGGATTTTTTTTTGAATTTTGTACGGCCAAAATTAATATTAGTTACATAAGAAAACTTTCCAGAAAAATTGCCTTAAAGATTCATGATTTTCCATTCATTTGAGGTAGAAAAATAGCTGTAGCCATACGTAACCATGACAACCAGTTGTTTTAGATATTTTATTAAGACAATGATTAATATTTGATATCTGAAACAGTTGGTACGCATAGCTACTGCTATTTTTCTATATTTTCTGCTATATTTATCCGTTACTTTTGGGAAATCCTGTATATTTTATTAGGTTATTATTAATCATGGAGAACACAAAACATAATCATATCTCTAACTCAAAAAAGTCTACATACAGTAGGTTATTCTTATACATACTGTATCATTGACAATTAAAACAAGTCGAAATTTACATACTAAAATTAATACTTGCTAGGTCCTCCCTTGGCAGCAAGAATTGCTGCTAATCGTCCAGGCATGGAATCAACCAACTTAGCTGTAATTTCTGGTGAAATACTCTACCATTCTCGTAATAGTGCAGCTTTCAACTCGTTTTTATTTTTAATATCTAACTTCCGAATTATTGCGGTCAAAAAGCTCCCATCTCTATGATCCCAAGCCTAATTTAATGACCGATTCCTTTAAATTAGTTCGCAATATGTTCAACAACCCCACACCATCACGTTTCCTCCGCCATGCTTCACTGTGGCTTTCAAGTTTTTCATATTCATCTCTCCATACTTTTGTTGTGACAACATAACCGAAAATATTGGATCCACTTTCATCCGAAAATACAACAGTATACCAGAAGGTATATATTTAGCAAAATCGACTCTTTTTTTCGCATTTGTTTCCGACATAAATGGCTTTTTTCTGGAAACTCTACTGCTGTAGCCTTCACTTTGCAGCACAAGTCGAACTGTTTCTGGATTTACGGTTATAGATTTTGATGCCTTGATCGTGTTTAAAATTGACCACTTATCTCTACATGTCAGTTATAGCTGCATTTGAGGTATAAATATGATTAAGTTTTGTATTTTTCATTATAAATAGACTTCTAATACCCTTCGTTTAAAAATTTTATTGAGTTACATTTCAGAAGCTGAGATATTATCATGTTTTCATAATTCCTAACGAAATTTCGAAAATCAGCTTTTATGACACATCTCTTTTTTGTTCTATTTTTGTACTTTTTTTTAGGACATGGTTGCAGAGAATGCATTAGGGTCGTGGACCACTTACATCGATGTCCCAGGGCAGTAATGGGACTGTATGAAAAATGATGATGACGCCGGCCGTCGAACCCAAGTGACGGTGGCGGCGGCGACGACGGTGTGCAAAAAAAAAATGGAGAAGAGAAGAGGAAAAAGTCGGGAATGGCCCGTGGGGACGTGAACGAAACGGGACGGGCATAAATTACTAATTTCGCGGACCAAGAAGGAGGCGTCCGTAACAATGGCGGCAAGCGGGCGGAAAGAGGCCGGAGTCACGGGCGGAGGCGCGCACGTAGCGGTCGCCATTCGGCCGGTAATCGCCCTCTTCAGGGCCGTAAACAGCCTCGGAAACGGCCGGACGGACACCGTGGACCCCGTCTTAATGGATTTCGGACGCGACCCCGTCCGATACGCTCCACGCAGAGACCATGTTACTTTTTCTTCGTTAAAGTTTCATCTACCAGTGAATGTTTAAACGATCAACCAACCGTTTCAAGATGAAGGGAAACCACGTTATTTCACTCTTGGGTCAATATATCTTTATATAAAATTTGAATATAAGACCTTTAATATTCTTCTTTATTTTAGTTAGAAAGAAGCAAGAAAAATTTATAATATGTTTACAACGAAAAGAGATGGAAGATTTTGACCGTATTAGAAGGGCCAGAAAGCCCTTATCAAGTTGAGGATGGAATTGCTCTCTTCTCGGTCCCTTCCCCACACACACAATTTCTTAATTCTTCCTCGGGATGCTGCCACTGTTGGTGGAGCGTCGTCGCCGCACCAATTTACGGGTAGGTTTCATTGTCGTCGTGGAACGGCCCTCGGAGGAGCAATATCGGCCCGCCTAATAGCCTCCGAAACACCTTTTTAATGAACTATTGTGCGGGGAAATGAAAATGGGGAGCGTAACGGCCGCCCGTTCCTTTTGAGCCCCGACGACCCCTTTCGGTAATTACTCACCGCGTCGTTGTCCCGCGGGACTTTCCCGCGCGTCGGGCGTTATAAACGCATTAGTCCGTTCAGAAATCGACGTCCGTTCGTCGTCCTCATCGTTGTCCGTTGAGGTCCCCCAGGTCGCATTTGTCATAATACGAGGGTGGTAATTCCCTTACTTAAGGGTTAACGTCGCCTAATCGCCGTTGTTTTTCTTCGGGAAACATTTTAAGAAGGGGGTGATAGGGCGATTTGGTATTTTGCGGTGTGGCGCGTTTACGCCATAAATCGAGGGTTGGCGTCGCGGACGTAATGGCATTATAAAAATCGATTACAATTAACGCTTGCGCTGCACATTCGACGCGTCGGCCGCCATTTTCAGGCGTCCCGCGGCAGGCGTATAATCTCATTTGGGGGAGCGCGGGGTGGACCCACCAACGCCGCCGCCGAAATCTAATTAGCGCCCACCCCCCCGCACCCTACAGCCGATCGGTAATTACTACAATTAATCAATCCGTTTCCAATATTTTGGGGAGCCCCCCACGTCGAGCCATTGATTTTCTTCGAATTCGAGAGAAACTCACAAAATTGGATAAGGAAGAAAGATTTCATTTTTGTAATGGGATAAAGTTAAAAGGATTTCTTAATTTTCAGTTTGGATTTTGATTACTCAACACGAAATCTTGTAGATACTTACCAGTTGTTTACTTGGAGTATCGTCAGGCCGGTGTCCTGAGCGAGCTGTTTCTTTTGGTCCTCCGACGGGTACGGATGCTGAAACAACAAAAAAAAAGAAACCTTATACTGAGTGCATCCAACGAAAATAAACTGTTAAAAATAAATGGAAACAAAACAATGACAATAAGAAAACGAAAAATAAGAAATTCTCATCTAGAAATGGTTCGCGTATGATTTAGGATCCGTTTGCAGGAACGTGACAGGCGACGTTCCTCCGGGAATCCGAAGCAGCATCGAATATCACGTTACGCCGTCTCGGCACGTGCATAATTCAGAAGGGCGCCCCTTACGGGACTCCCGTACTACGAAAAGTAACAAGTAGAAACCAATCTAGGTAATTGGTACCGGGGCCGCAGCGGCAGCAGCAGCAACTCCTCTGAACAATGGGGAATAGCATAGACGACGACGGCGACGACGTCGGCGTCGGTCGCTTTAAAGCGCGCACTCGCCGCTGCTAGACGCCAGCCTGGGCGTGTCGGCGTCTCGCGGCGTCGACGTCACGAATCGACACTCCCATTTCGCGAAAGTATATCCGCCCACTTAGTCGTCATTAGTGGATTTCTCACGCGTACTCTACCGAGGGACCCCCCGACTGTTTGCTTCCTTCTGAGTGAGGGCGTCCCGGCGCGCTGTTTACATGTCATTTACAGCTGTCGAAGTGGGCGTCGTAAAGCTAACCCCCTACAGAAACTTTAAAATAGTACACTTACAGATTAACTTGTATCATAAACTATGAATTTCCAATATGGGGAATTTCATATAACTCGCAATATATGAATGCCATAATAACAAACCAATATGCACTTGCACTGTCCCACATATAATGAACATAGCTTAATAGTACAGGCATTGGGAAGTTTTGCAAAGGAAGAGTTTTGCTTGGAAAAAGGTGACGGTCCTTATCATAACTCTGAGTTTTCGGCCGTCTTAAGACTCGCACGGCTAAACCCGAAGGTTTCTGGTTGTAGGTCTAACGCTAAACAACAACAGAACTAGAAACATTTGGATTTAGCCGCACGTCTCTCGAAACGGCTACACCCAAATGATTCTAGTTCTAGGTCTTGTGTTAGTTCTAGAATACTAGTGTAAAAGTAGAACTAACACTAGACCTAGAACTAGACACTAATATTTAGCCACACGTCTCTGAAAACGGCTAAACCTGAATGATTCTAGTTTTAGGTCTTGTGTTAGTTCTAGTGACAGTGCTAGATAGCGCTAGTTAGCATTAGATATCACTGTGTTGCATATTTTTATTGAGTTAAAACTAGAACTAACACTAGACCTACAACTAGAAAGTATCGGGTTTAGCAGTGCGTCTTCAGGCGGTTTGAGATTTCAATTTTACTGTGGTAATCTCTTCGTAGCATTGTTTAATTTCCCTGAGTGTTTCTGGTGTCATATTATTAGTGGCATGTTTTCGATATCTCGCTATAAATGGGATGGTACGCCCATCATTAAAAATATCAATGATATTATTTACAACTGAAATATCTAAACTTTGCCGTTCTGCAACTAATTCGTAAAATTTCCAATAATTGTGATTGATTTGATTCTCTTTGCTTTTACTTTTTTGTTCAATTTTTCCTCTTCATTTTTAGCCTTTGTTATGTTCCTGTTTTTGATTTCTTAATTTTTGGTGAAACTTCTGAATCGCAATGTTTTTCATCTCTCTTTCTTTTAGGTGAGTAAGCATTTTTAATTTTTGTGGTTTTGTTCATGATTGAAATAACTTTTAAAACTTATCTTCTGTATTGTTTATATTTTTATATAAAAACATTAACATTAACGATACTTTCTAAAATAATAGGTTTAAATTTTTCATTGCATGACAGCTTGATTTGACAGATTCTAGTTAACATCAAACTCAACAGATGGCAACATACCAAGTGTAAAAAATTAAATGAAAAAAAATTCATTTTGAAGTTTAACTTTAAAATTTGTAAATTAAAAGTTACATTTTCTTCATATCGAATTACATTTGCCATGTACTACATATTTGGATGTCAAACGCGATACAATTATAAAAATTGTATGTACTTACATTAAAATACTGTAATTTTATGTTTTTTTGTCGATAAGCCACGAAATAAAGGTTGCAAAAATATTTAAACTCATCTATAATAATAGGAACATTTGAGTGCGTTCATTAGAGAATTTCGTTTCTTCTTCTTCTTCTACTTTCGACTACGGATGCATCCCTGTTTGTCAAGGCTCATGTTTGGACTTCACTTCGCAGACGAGAAGAACCAGTGCTATACTCATTTCTTGGGCGGTCGTCCTTATGATCTTTTTCCTTTCGGTCGTCAATACATGCATATTCTAGCCGATCTCTATTCTTTCCGCATGTTCCTTCCATCTTTTCTTTCTTACTTTTGTCCATTTTACTACATCCTGTATGTTACACATAGTTCTCTGATAGAGGTGTTGGTCTGCCTATCTCGCAGTGTCACATTCAACATAGATCTCAAGACTTTTATCTCCATCACCCTTATCCTCTGTTTAGTTTTCTTTGTTTTTGCTGTCGCCTCGAAAGAAACATTCGGGTTTAACCACACATCTCTCAACACGGCTAAACCCGAATGATTCTAGTTCCAGATCTTGTGTTAGTTCTAGTGACAGTGCTAGATAGCGCTAGTTAGCACTAGATATCAGTGTGTTGCATATTTTTATTGAGTTAAAACTAGAACTAACACTAGACCTACAACTAGAATGTTAGAATCTTATGCTAACTAGTGATATCTTATGCTAACTAGTGATATCTTATGGTAACTAGCGCTAGCACTGTCACTAGAACTAATATTAGACTTAGAAATAGAAACATTCTGGTTTAGCCGTCTTAAGGTATATTTTTGTATATTACATCTTAAGTGAAATTCACTGTATAACTAATAAGAACGTTTAAATTTGACGCTTATGCCTGCAGGAATAACTTTTAAATGAATTTTATGCAGATTGGTATTCGCAGCTTGCGCAAACTTGAAATGTTATAGATTTATTGGAAACGATTAGAGTTGGGTTATTGAAGTAGGACGTCATTTTAATGGCGTCGTCTGCAGGATGCGTCGCGGCGAACGGCCAATGGTCTTTGGGTTTATTCCTGCGTGCATCAACCCGTTCGTTGGGGCCAATGGCGGTTGTGGGAAACCAACCTGACTCTGGCGGTGAACGGGCGAACGAACGAGGAGACGTATTGCGTGCCTGACGAAGCGAGGATTTACAACACACCCAACATTGACGATGTTTTATTGTTTTTCTCTTTCTTTCGTTCTTTGTTGAAGAAAAATCAACTTCCTTGTTGATGCTGGTTATGTTCTTGGTCACATCGCTTCTGATATCCTTTTATGGGTATGAAATTATTGTCGAAGAGAGAACACACGGGTTGATTGTAACTCATTCGCCCGGTGTAATTAAGGGAAAGATGGCTGCCGTTAGAGGCCGCGGGCAGCTCGGCCGGGGATCGATAGCCGGGACCCCGCCGTGCAGAGAGCGCCCTCTGCCCTCCACCACCGCTTCTACCGCCGCCACCGCCGCCGCCGGCTCGTCCCTTTCGCAATATCCGATAGCGGCCGGATTAGCGCCCTGTTTAATGAGTCGTGCAAGTAAAGCCCGGATCAGTGGCACCGGGACCCTTTTGCTCTTCTCATCTCCTCCTCCTCTCTAGCTGGCCAACTCTCAAATATTCATGCGTCTCGGACATTAACTATTCGGGGATGTTTGTGGGTACACTACACTAAGGGATAACGTTATAAGTTCAGAAGAACGTCATTTAGAGTCTCAAAGGAATAAATATTAAATTAATCAAAAAAAAAATTTTTTTTGGAATATCTTAACAATCCAAAATAAATCCCATCCAATTTGTGGTCAATTTACTCCCAGAAAGTCAGAGTCTGGGCAAAAGAAAAAAATGTATTTCCGTCTACGACGACGTCGTCGTCGTCCTCCTTTCCCCCTCACGAGCTTTACGGTTATTCCGATACACGTCCCCGAAGCTAAACGAAAAAATGGTCTTTCCGGCTACGAGTTTCCATTTCCGGTTCGGCCCGCATTTCCGGGGCCGAGTTTTATCCCGGATCCAGACACGTGTCCCGAAATCCCAGGATTTCCCGGCCGCAATAAGTTCTCATCGTAAAGACGCCCCGGGTAAATTTTGAAATATCCCTCTATCGCAATCCACCCTCTTCTTCCACTTCTTCCAAGCATAGAGGAAAAATCGATATCATTACCTTATTCCTCCTTTTCTTGATGTACATATACGCATCTCCCGAGTGTCCCGTAAACGGTCATCTATAAGCCATCGAGCACGCACGTAAGGTGACCTCGGGGGGTTGTAACGCATCTCGAGGGTTACATAACCCTTATACGCAAAGCAAGGAAACTCAGATGCATAGTGATTTTTATGATTACACCGGGAGAGAAGTCGAATGAAAAGAGGAAATTGGAAGGCAGCGAGGGAAAAAAATAGAAAATATAAATAAGGCGATCGGGAGGAGAATCGGGATTTCAAGGCGCCCTCGGGAACACATATCACCTACGCTCCCGACTCCTTTCCCGTTTCAAATTTATAACCGAGACTCCAATCGTAGCGAAATCACAATTTTTGGGAATAAATAAAAGGAATTGCGTGAATAATTTTTGACGATAAAAATTCTTCGAGAAACCACTTCTTTGTAATAACGTCGTTTGTGGTCCACCGCAAATATTTCGATGAGTGACCGGTTTAAGTGTGTCTTTCCACGAAAATATCTCCTCTGTGATTCATTCATTGAGTATTTGGTTTTAATTATAACCCGGATTTCGTTGAGTATGGTAAGAATTTCATGCAACAACAACACAATCCACGATTATCTCGGTAATCATCAATTGAATACGTGATGAATGCCTAGTTACTAACGAGTTTGTTTTTGTTTTGTTGTTTAAAAGTGTTGTGGTGAGTTCATTCGTGCTAAGATTAAAGCTTTTATAATTCAAAAGCTTTAATCTTAGCACGAAAATAATTAAAATGTGAGACATTAATTAGATGAAAATTGTAGCATAACTTACCGCAAGATACATATCGCTAATTAATTATATCTTTATAAATAATTATGAAATTAAACCTTTTTATATAAAATTAACGCTTCGAAGGTTTGCAGTGATATTTTTATTATTACAACTTACTTATAATGTTTTTAATTAATTTTTTTTAAATAAAATTTCTTACCGTTAGATGTTGGAACAGCCACGCCCTAAGGATATTCGTCGCAACTTTCGGGAATATCCCCCGTTTCTTTTGGTTCTTCTTGCCGTTCGTGTCGTCATCTTCTTCCCCCGTACCTTCACCGCTCCCTATGCTTGCGTTACTGGCGTCACCTATAACAACGATGATTACTTAATTACCATTAACAAAAAAATTAAAGACTAATTTTCTTTTATGGCAATGTGTGTTTTAGCATTTAGAAGTGGGGGTTCGGTTTCTATCCCCCGGGAACCTCTAATGAGTCACACACGACGAGAAAATCCGATTAGGGTCGCCGGGGGTTCTTTCGCAATCGACTTGTCATTGTCGCGACAATGTTATTATTTAAAACATGCGCCGAGTTAGTGCTAAGCCGGCCTTAATACCTAGTAATGAAAACGAGTAGAGGGGTTGATTTTATAGATTATAATATATAAAAGAGAAAGATTTTTGAATAGTTTCAAACTCTTCTGATTCTTACAAACATTTCTAAATTATTGTATATGGTTGTGTCCATTCTCACCATGTAATGATAAGTATTAAAAGAGTCATAATATACTATGGTGATATACTTTTATTTTTTCGTCAAAAAGCGGTTTCGGGCCCTGCCCTTCCTCAGTGGATGGAACCCTACAAACGTGGTGTATGTATGTTGAAGTAAACAAAAAACAAGAATAAACTAAATTAATAGTATGAATAAAGGAGAACTTACGTCAGGTTAAAATCGTAAAACATATCTTTAGAACGGTATAAACTTTAACGAAAACTCAGCGACAACCACATTGCATTATTCAGGCATTATTGGCGGAAAAATTGTTGTAAACAGGTTATGTAATTGAGGTTACGGGTGTTTCTTAGGTGGGTAAAGTAGGACACCACATGAAATCCAAAACGACAATTGATCCGAATTAAAACTAAAATCAAATTTTATATTATAAATTATTATTACTATTATTATAATTTATAATTTCATTTAGTTTTTTAAATCGGATCAATTGTCGATTTTAGATTTCATGTAGTGTCCTACTTTACCCACCTAAGAACCCCTAACCTCAATTACATAACCTGTTTACAACAATTTTTCCGGCAATGCAATGTAGTTATCGCTGAGTTTTCGTTAAAGTTTATACCGTTCTAAATGTATTTTTTACTATTTTAACCTAACGTAAGTTCTCTCTATAGTATATTGTGACTCTTTTAATACTTATTTCTAAATTAAGCTACTCTTATTTTAAACCTTTAACAGTAACCATTTAAAAGATAATTCATGTTTTGTACATTATAAAAAACTGGCTTTCTATATACTAAATACATAATGATTTTCATGTAGTTTGAGAGTAATTGGGAGTAGAAATAAAATCGGTCATTATGATGCTGATCTTTCCTAAAAAATGATGAATATAAGTAAATATACAAGAAACTTTAGCAGACTACTTTGTAGGGTCAAAGTACATATTGGTTTTGAAATTTGATTGCTCTAAATCGAAATTGAAAATGAATCGTGAAAATATGAATATGAAGCAAAAACTGCAGGGATTAAAATAAAAACATTTTTATGTGCCAGTATTCTAGCAAGATCAGCAACAACAGAATAGAGCTAAGAAAATAGTACGGTTAATAAAGCAGAAAGGACTATGAGCAACACTAAGACTTTTGCATCGAAATTCTGCACAACTTCGTTTGAGAAACTGTATCATTTTGAAATCTTTGACTAAATCTTCTTCAGCTAAAGAAGATAGAAACTTGGTCTTAATGTCAAGACAAGAAAAGTACTTAGGAAGTTATGCATATTTGAGATACCTATAGAGGAAGTACTCCAAGAACATAAAAGTTCAAACATAAAAGCTCCACAAAATCTTGGGTATAACAATTAAAACTAAAACTACCTACATAAATAATATTTATAGATGGAAGAACAAGAAATTAAATTAATAAATGTATCATTGTATCTAAAAAAAAAACAAGTATAAGAGAACTTACTAAAAGCTTACTTTAGGTTTTGGTGTTTTTATTTGCAATAAAACCCGGTCGTTTCATAGCCCTAAAGCGTTTACCCCGATCGACGGCGTGCGCGGTCGTACCACCAATAATTAGGGTGTATCCCGTCGTCTGCGGATACACGGTATAGTCCTCTTTCGCGTCGTAAAGAGGCGTTTGGCGCGAAGAAGAAAAGCCCGAAACCGCTTGTTTTACGACCGGCCATGAGGTGGTACCGTAAAACGACAGTAAAACGGCGCTTGACGGCCACTTGACGGCCGTTCTTCCACATGCAAAGTGATTCTTTGGGTGGAGGAATCTCTCTTTTTGTTCGTTCACCGCCCTTCACAAAAAGACACACACACAAACATAATCTGAGCTTTTTACCCCTTGGCAAAAAACAATTACTTGGTAAACTATCTATAAATGCTAGGTGTTTATGACTGTATTCAAATCTTTAAATAAAAATCGATTTTTTTATTATGATGAATCGTTTTGGAATATTTACTGTGTGGGAACCGTAATGTCTACCAGGTATACACACACACACTTTAACGAAAACTTCTTAATCCAGTAAATATTTGTGTGTTAATAAATAAATAAACAATGAGAAGCACGGTTGATGCTGAGATCTTAAATGTGTATGTGAAGGTATTAAGACGGTAATGCGTTGGATAAAAGGGGACTTGGTCGCCTCGTTATCCGCAATTCGTGGAAAAATCTTTAAACGTTATTGACTTCGGATTACCGGAGACGATGTCGGGGTTTTAACTTTTGAATCCTTCCGGGAATCCGTATCTCCAAAACGATTAACCTTAACAAAAGCCCGTGTAATCGTTTCAAAATTGTTGATCGTCCCCGAAAACGTGATGACATCATTTTTATTTTATATTAAAGAAAAAAAAGAAAGTTTTAGTAAGTTCTTTGTTTATTATCTATTGCGATACCTATACATAAATGGTTGGTTGTGCTTTTACGTAATATAATCGACGTTCTCTTTTGTGGTAGAGAGATAATAAATGGCGTCCTCAGCATCCAATCACCGTGTATTGTACGGACTATAAAAAAGAGCGTCGGCCATAAGGCCTTCTTGTGGTGTGGTTCTTGTAGAAGAGGTCCGGGACAGGTCTCCTAAGCCTCGGGCAACGATCACGCCGCCGATTACCATATTTTCCATAAATTATAATAAAAAAGATAATTTGCCGTAATCAACGACGATAAGAAGTTGTTGCGTGGCCCCGTTACTTTTTCTTATTTTTTATTTCCTTCTTCTGCAACGTTGAGATCGTGGTGGTAGTTCTTTTGCTCTCGTCTCCTTATTTTTATTTATTTTTTTTTTTTTGAATTTTTATTTTCTACTTTGGCCACAGGTACCGATCGGTAAAACAGCGAAGCGTCATTATAAATCGAACGGCAAATTGGCCGTAATTATGCGAGAGATAACCGGCGACGGCGCGACGTCGGCAGCGAGCAAGAAGAGGATCGACGAAGGACACACCGCGAGTGAGAGATGACGACCTCTTAATAAAATTATCCCTCCGGTCCGTCGGATCAATGGATCCGTTAAACTCGCCCCGTTTATCGTTGTCTGTCCAAAGAAGAAAACGATTCAACCGCGACGCGGTTCTCTGTGGATCTCCTTTCCATTTTTAATTAACTAATTAAGATCGATGCGTCGTGTTCATTTTTATCGCAATCGTTTTTGCGTTAAATAAAAAAAAGGGATTCTAAAAAAATGTGAAAGAAAGAAGTTGTTTTGGATTGGCACGCTTTTGATATTGTAAAAAATTCTTTTGAATTAGTTCACAAATGTTACCTGATTAAACAAAATTAGAATTTGCAAAAATTGTATTTTGTGTTATGTTCTGATAACAGTATGAAAAAGCGACTGAGAGACAACGTGAAAATTGAATGCGCTGACAGAACGAATTTAAACCGGTGAGGAAAGATTTACGGTGGTTGAGATGGAGTTGCGATGGGGCATTAAATCAATCGACTAAACATAGGCAGAAATATGAGTAAAAGATCAACCGTGGTGGAGAAAAGAACAAAATATAAAAACAAATTTTGATAAATGCGAATTTGTTTGAAACATAAATTCCATTGAAAGAACAAAAATTTATGCCAAATAGCACAAAGAGTTAGGAAATGATTTTTTTTGTATCAAATGTACCTCAATATCGAAACTTTCAATGTACCAGACACTTTTTGACAAATGATATAACTTTAAAACGTGGAAAAACAATGCGACCGATGCTGATCTTTCCTAAAAAAATGATGAATATAAGTAAATATACCAGAAAGTTTTGCGACTACCTTATAGGCTCAAAGCACATATTGGTTTTGAAATTTGATTGCTTTAAATCGAAATTGAAAATGAAACGTGAAACTGAATATGAAGCAAAAACTGCAGGGATGAAAATAAAAACATTTATATGTGCTAGTATTCTAGCAAGATCACCAACAACAAAATAGAGATAGGAAAATAGCACAGTTAATGAAGCAGAAAGAGCTATGAGCATCACTAAGACTTTTGCATCGAAATTATATAATTTTGTATTGAGAAACTCTATCATTTTGAAATCTTTTCCTAGGCCTTCTTCAGCCAAAGAAGATATAAACCTGGGCTTAATGCCAAGACAAGAAACGTTCTCAGGAAGTTATGCATATTTTAGATACCCTGGAGGAAGTATTCCAAGGACATAAAAAAGTCAATGGCACCGAGAACAGGACAACTTAGAAGCTATATATTAGAAAAGAATAGCACAAAAGCTTGGGTGTAACAATTAAAACATAAACCAGATAAATAAATAATGCTCAAACGATAGCAAAAGGTCAAAATGACTACGAAAAAATAAACTAATTGTTTAAATTAAACTCCATATTTCTGATAACGCAAGGTACACGAAATTCTATCAATTCAACTTTAACAAACGCCTACACATTCATAAACCCGCCCACACTAAGAATATGTTGGAACGGTTTCAAATGAAGAATACAAAGATAACCAATGTCTAAAGATGTTATTCGCAAAGAATGAGGAATGTATATTTAACATGCTTAACCATAACTTGGCCAGATATTGCGTTTATAGAGGGTGTCAAAACCATCACAATCCAATTGGCAACGAGCCCAGACGATATCTTGCTATTTAAAT